AACGTAATTCCACGCAAACACGCTCTTTTTAGCGAAAAAGCGCTTCTTTCCCCCCCCCCCCCCTGAAAATTATGTTCCGGCCCGCCAATGAACTTGACAACATTGTTGATTATGATTTGATCTTATGTTTTGATTATAAATAGAACTCAATGAATTTAATAGAAACTCTCAAAGAATTCGGGTCTATAAGTTGCTCGAATGAAAATATGAGTATTGTCTAAAACTGAAAAAAATGAACTTTTTTTGCTTCTATAGAGTGATAATTATACCAATATCTTGACCAGAAGATTTTAACATCGTCATAATCATAGAAATTTTTCATTGTTCTCTTTCAAAGTTAGTTATCGTGGCGAAGAAAAATTTTAGAAAATCATAAAATAAATCTATTTTCGACCTATGAGACAATCAATTATGATTTGAAATAGTCTTCAACAGTTGAAGAACTTCTTTTTTCATAAACTTACTAGAAAAATCCTTCAGAGTTCGTACCTTTAAATTATTGCTGCAGAGATATTGTACTTTTACCGTATTTTTTTAAAATGAAATCAAAAGACCTGAGACTATCACAATAAACTACTCTCATTAAAACCTATCTCTATGCAAAAGTTTCAAGTTGAAATTCAGCAATCATTTTTTTTTCCGATGTTTCTAAGGGAGAGAAAAAAAGGACCGTAAAAGTCAGGTATCTCTGCAACAATAAGTTACGTGTATAAATTGTTGTTAGAATATTAATAACTCATTTGGTTCTACATCATATAATTAGTCTTGACTAGAAAATAATCAAACAATTGGAAAACTTCTCTCCGCGTTTGCAATATGCTTTTCATTTCATTATAATGTATCCAATCAGATTTTCATTAAATATTATTTTCTAAATTTGAATCAATTATAGACAATACCAAAATTTCTTATGAATATAAATGATTAAAATCTCAATTGCTCATATTTAATATTTGTAAATACTTTATCATAAATTCTTTTCTTATTTTCAGTATTAAAAGAAAAAAAAAAAAAAAAAATCAAATGATCATTATTTATTGCTCTTTCTTTTTCTTCATCAATTTAATGTACATATTTAGATTGGTGTGAATATGGAATAGGCAAGTAACAATATATAAATTTAATTGTGCTCGAGGGCTTCGACCATGACAAGTGATATGAGACAGTAGACAAAAAGAGAAGAAAAAAAAGCAAGAGTTGTGTTTAATTTCGCAGGAAATGAAGTGTTCAATTAATGACACGCGTATCAACAAGTATTAAGGACAGTTTTCTTCTCGTTATTGATCAATTAAATGATTCTAACATGATATATAAATACACAACAGGAGAGAAAAGTCGATAAATATTAAATGACGTCAGTCAATCTTTTTCTTTTTTTTCTTTTTTCTTCTTCAATTGATGTCATTCAAATATAACTACCCCGCAAGCTTTCTTTTTGATCATCATATTTCATTTCAACAAGCTTTTAATACATCAATTGTAATTATAGAAACAATTCACTATTTTTATTTAAGTTCTCGATTACGAGAAATTTGTTTACAATATAATAAACTTTTTGCATTAATGCTAGATTGATTGTTGTAATGAAAAACGAGAGAAAGAAAAAAAAAGAACGCAAGTGTTAAATTGAGTATAATAATAGATGAAAAGTAGAAAAAAAACTGAACTACTTTTTCAATTATGACAAAAAAGAACTTAATGGCTTGTTTTTGTTTTGCCTTGGAAAATTACTTAATTTAAGAATTAAAAAATCGGAAAAAATTTGATTTTTTTTTTTCTTTTTTGACTATTTTTTGTGAAAGATGACAGGAATTCATAATTGAACTATCTAATTTATATATATATTATTATCAATTATAAGGTCATTCAGATGAATAATGATGATGATTCTTAGTTGCTGTTTGTAAAATTTGTTGATTTTAGTCAATTTTTTATTTTTTTTTTACGGATTGTTACTTAATATATAGAAGAAAATTCGTTATGAACTAAATATTAATATCGATTTTCAATTAAAATAATATTTTGTTGAAATATTGTTGATTAAATATTTTTTTTGCTTTTAGTTGTTTTTTTTTTATATACTTGACAAAGATTTATATAATGAACAACATAAAAGAAATATATTCTAGGATTAATTATAAAATATGAAACAAATATATATGCAGAAAATGAAACTCTTTTACCAATAATCGAATTAAAATTTTTATTAATTTAAACTTAAAATAACTTCTAACATAAGATTCATTTTATAATTTCTCATTCAATTTTTTCTTCAATGTTTTGGATGAAAGAAACAACAGCAGTAAAACGACGCCATTTAATTCATATATTATTCAATATAGCCATCATTTTAGACAAATTAGAATGTCGTCAGTCAGACAGCGAAATAAATACATACGGATGCTTGCAGCAATGAAGAAAAAAGAAACCTCCAAGTAAGGATTCTTCTCTTATTCTCTTCGGTTAGTTTTTTCATGTACAATATGCACGCGTGAAATGATTATATTGGTTTGTTGATTACAACCTACAGGCCGTTCTACTCTTCGCATGCGCCAATGGAATAGCTCGACGCACTCAATTTTTTTCTCTCTATCCTTCCCTCGATAGAAGAAGAAAAAAGAAAACAGAGAGAGAGAGAGAGAGAGACAGAGAGAAAAAGCGAATATAATTATCATCGCTACTACTTCTACTGACGAACATATAACGTTTTCTTTCTCGGTGTGCACTCGCGATCAAATCATCTACTATATTTAATAATTGAATAAACGAGAAAAAAAAACACCGAATATTTATTATACAATGCGAGGTTTTACAATAGACTGTATACTTGAAAATAATTTATCTTCATCAACAACAACAACGAATAATTTAAAACGAAAAATATCTGATATAAATGAAGATAATGAACATCAATTAAATAAACGACAAACCATTGAAGGTAAAGAAAAAACATATATATATATATAATATAGTCAATATCCTATTCATTTCAACTATCTTTAATTATCTTCATTTCGTTCATGTTCTTGTCATTTTAATTGATCACTTCAACTTTTCTTCTATATTTTCTCTATATACACATACATAACCACTCGACACATACATAAGTAGTATGGGACTTAATCGATACAATTGAATTGGGAATCTATTCTTATTGTTCGGAGAAAAGAAAAGAGAGAATGTGTTGTTAATTTGTTCGTCAATTGCCTCATTAAACAATAGGAAGACGAAGGAAAGAGTATGAGATCAGAAAACGAAAAAGAAATCAATCAAATATGTAATATGTATCAAGACATTTTAATTTAGCACCGGAAATTTTATCACCATCATCTGTTGTACCACTTCCATCATCAACAAATAACAATGAAAATTGTAATAATAATAAATTATCAAGTAATGATGAAGAACGTGATTCATCAGGTGAACAACATAGTTCAGATGATCGACCAAGAAAAGTACGACGTAGTCGAACAACATTTTCAACATATCAATTACATCAATTAGAACGTTCTTTTGAAAAAACACAATATCCTGATGTATTTACACGTGAAGAACTTGCTATGAGACTTGATTTAAGTGAAGCTCGTGTACAAGTTTGGTAAGTTAAATAGAAAAAAAAGCAAAAACATAAGAAAAATAATATTATCTAAAATATGCCTTATTTGCATTCAATTAGTAGACATTTTCTTTTTATTCTCTGGATAATAAAGCGATTAAAACATGTTGAATAGATAATAAATGAAACATGAGTATAGAAAATTTTTATCTTAAAAAATATCTATATAAATAATTAAATTCCAATGTTTGTTGGATCAAATGAATAAAAAATAATTCGTATTAATAAATTCATATTGAAAAAGTTCATCGAGTTGTTTTTTTTTTTTCTTTTATAAGGTTTCAAAATCGTCGTGCTAAATGGCGTAAACGTGAAAAAGCACTTGGTCGTGAAAGTCCAAGTTTTATAGCACCACATGATATTGAATCATTTCGTCATCAAATGTCAACATATTTATCTAATGCTTTAACAGCAACTGTTGGTGCAAACAATACCAATAGTGATCGTCCGTCACAAATCGTACCACCACCACCACCACCTCCACCACCAACACATTATCTTCCATTTTTAATGGGTCATATTGATGAAAATCTTTTAGCACGATTACCTTCAAATCAACATCCACATTTAAATTTACTTTATCATAATAATCAAGCTATACCATCATCAACTTTAAATCTTTCATCTGTATCTCCATCATCAAATTCTTCATCATCTGAATCTTATTTAACAAATCAATTCGATAGATTTGATCATCATCGGCGTGTTAAATTAGAAATTCAAGATACAACTGCTTAATAGCAACAACAAAAAAAAATTTTTTTTCTCTTCTTTTTGCTTCTTTTACAGTGTTTGTACAGTTTGTTTTGTTTTTGTGTGTGTGTGTGTGTCTTATTTTTAAATATGACAAATGAATTTGCCTAGTGTATGAATACAACAAAATCATTCTTTTAGAACGAAAACTTATAATTTACTAATATAAATCGGATTGTTTTACGATTGGTTGAATCTTCTGAACATGCGCATATAGGCATGAAAAATTTCTCCCTTATGGCCAATAAATCGATTGGTTCTTTTTCTTTCTTTCTAAAGAATATACAAAATAAAAGAAAAAAAAAAAAAAAAAAATTAAATTCATTAGACTATTTCGTGACTTACTCTCTTATACTTATGTTTATGATGATAACATGGAAAATTAGATGATAGATCAACGGAAATGTAAAAAAGAAACCTAAAGTAGTAATTTAACGAGAAATCACGGAAATGCATCATCAAAAAGAACGATGAATATATGTATGCATTACTAAACTAAATTCTTTTTTTCTTCTTTTTTATTCTTAAAGAAAAGAATCGTTTGCATGTTCGATAACATACATACAAAGAAAGAATGAGTCTCGATCTAATCAAATAATCCTGACTAATCTGTTACTGTGAAAAGACCTAATCGTTTTTCTGCTTCATTTACATCTTATTGATAGAATAAAAAGAAAATGTAACTATATGTTTGTATGCCAAGGATTTTTATCCTCATCAATCCCACCTGTCGTGTTACTGAATGAATAGAGCTACTTCAGTTAATTGTGGACGATTCGTATATATATATATATTATATACACGTATGTTCTCATTCTCATATACAAGTGGCTCGATGGATTGAAGAGTGTAACACGTATAATTGTTCTATAGTTACATATTCTTGTTTCTATGTTCGCATACACTTAGATTGATAATACTCATAATTAGATTCGAAGTTGTTATAAATATTTGTTGAGTTTCTCTTTCTTTCTTTAAACACTCTACTTTAACAAATAATAGAAAAAGAAAAGAATGAAGCACAATGATGATGATGTCGGTAACATGCGAAGACTATTAGAAGCAAATAATTATAGTATATATGTGCCTTCTATATCTTTAATAACATGCTTGTTTGTGAATAATTCACAAGAAACAACAGTAATGTGGACATTCAAGACGACGATAATATTGTCGAATGAAGAAGTAATTTGAAGCTTGATTACATTTGATGATGACGACAGCCATAGTAGCAAGTGCCTGATGCCGATGAATTGTTCATATCCGGTTTGCCTTTTATTCTTTAATCATCTCCATCTGCATCTTTTTTTTATCATCATCATCATCACATTGATGACAATAAAACATAAGAAAAAAAGAAAGTGAATGAACGCCATCCTCAATTGTCGATTTGTTCAATTGCTGATTTCAATTGCAATATCCTGTTGTGTGTGCATATCACACGATAGTCATTTGCACACTCTCCACATCTCTAATTTTCTTTTATTTCCTTTTTGACTGTTCATTTTGCTTATTGAGGTGAACATCCTCATTTATATATATTCTAATCTAACAACATATTCAATGCTTCATTTTTCTTTTGTCCTTTATAAACTACATTGAAATTAAGAATTTATGTGTATATAAATATAATTTTTATTATTATTATCTACATAATAAAGTTAAAGAAAATACCGAGCAAAAGCGAGTGAAATATTGATAATAAGAAGACATGTGCCAAAAATTAAACTAAATAATATAAGTCTATTATGACGTCGTTGATATAAACTTGGTGAAAGATATTCAATTAAAGCTAATAAAATATATTGACCATCAAATGCATAACATGGTACTGCATTAAAAAATGCAAGTGCAAATGAAAATGCAGCAACATACCTCGAAGAAAATAGATTAGTCAAATGAAAAACTAATTTAGTAAATGTAAAAAAAATGAGTAACTTACTGGAAAAATAATGGAATATCAGTAATGAGTATTGTTGAAACAAAGTTATATTTAGCTTGATATGATTGAATTTTAACTAAAATATATTAAATTATTCATTGAAAGTTTTTTATTTTAATAAAAGAAAAATTTTCATAATGAAAAAACACATGGGAATTAATAATATTAGAAAATTTCATAGTAAAACACATCGAAATGAAATACCAATAGATTTATTTTCTAGAAGTTTATTAATAATTTGTTTATTATGGAAAGTAATTAATTTTTATCTTACGAGGAAATGTCCTCAAGTGTCGAATTGCTTTTTTGATCAAGACTATATTCAGGTGAGAGACTATAGTAAATAATGCAAAAGTCTAAGAGGGTTCGGTTGTGTCAGCCATTATTCTTGTTATATCGAGAGAAGTTACACAAATTGATTGCAAAAAATTTTTTACTAATTTTTCAATCTTTTACTTGTAGATATCAATAAGATATCGAAAATTCAAAATTTGAGTAAATTTTTGTTTTCAATTTATTTAATGTCGTTCGAATAGAGCACATAGAGTTATTTATGAAAAACAATTTTTCCAAATTTTGAAAACATTCTCCCTTGGAAATATTGAAAAAAAAACAGACTTAATTCTAAATAATTATTAATTATGATTCGAGTCGTTTATTATCACAGATAAGTAATTTTCACTTTGTAGAATATTGTAAGAATTATTTCCTAATTCTATGAACAAATTTGACGACAAAAAAAAAGCCTTAGTTTACAAAAAGTTTCATTCGTTAATTTCATCTACAGATTCAGAAAATAAATCTTACAATGTTGTACAAAGTGAAAATTATATATCTGTGATAATTGATGAGTCTAATCATAATGTGTCGAGTTTAGTCTTTTTGTCAATAGTTCTCGGTAAAACTTGTTTTGAAAAATCGGAAAAGCAGTTCTTCATAGATAACTCTACATGCTCTATCCAACGACATTAAATAAATTGAAAATAAAAAATTTTCTCAAAAACAATGACTCAGACAATCGAACCTTCTTAGGCTTTTATGTTACTCGCTATGACTTCTCATCTGAATATACTCGGGATGAAAAAGCGATTGGACATTTGAGAATGTTCTCTCGTTTATTTTATACAATTATTGGTCATCATCATTCTATGTCGTATTAGAAAAAGAAATATATGATGAAGTTTTATAAAAAAAAAAACAATAAAAATAAGATGAAACTTTTATGAATTCTTTTCATTAAAGCATTTTTTTTTTGAACCAGACAGAAGCCATTCTAACAGATTATATTTATAAGAATCATTTAGTTTTCTTTTTTCTATATTAAACTTTAGAAATTAGATTTTTCTTCATACCTGTTTGATAAATTTCATTAATTGAACCAACAAAAAGAATAGGTGGTCCTTGACTATGTACAATTCGTATTAAACGTGTAATATTATCACTTGAAAATGGATGAACACATGAAACATCATTACCTTGACGTTGACAATCACTATTAAGTAAACAAGGTGGATGGTTAGTTACGCTACGAGCTTCCATACATGCACCATTCTATATAATTATATTCATGATGTTAGAAAGAATAATAATAATAATAATAATTATATTTACTTGAGTAAGATGTTGTTTAGAATGATAAAGAAAACAGTAATTTTTTTGAGATAAATTTTGACAACAATCATAATTACTTGTTTGATTAAATTCTAAATATGAAAAATATTTGTCAGCAAAAAGAACTTTTCGGACATTCAATTGCGACCGTTCAAAAGCGAGTTATACTCATATGTCTGATGCGAATATAATTTCTAGCAAATTTCATTAATTACTAATGGTTAAAAAGAAAAAAGGGTGTGTCAAATTATAAACAAAACGCCCCATTTTTTTTTAACATCATTCTATTGCAAGTCTTTCTCGTTCGATAGCTCTAGGGATACTGACTAAAAATATCACATTTTTGTCAAAAGTACGCCAATAATAAGAATGATTTGAAGCACTCTCTATGAGTTTGAAAAAAAACTAGTTTCTGAGCTAAAAGTTCATTTAAATTCGATTTATATTCCTTGAAAATAGGTTCATTTGATGCAGACAATCTTTTTCTATTAAAATCAAAGATGTCCATTGCGACTGGAAATCTATCGCTGCCGCAATGGTTTTTCCCGAGACTCTTCGAAAAACTCTTCCATTACTGTGCTAAATTAGTATAATTAGATTGAATCTATTAACTTCAATACGAATCTGACTGTTAGACTTCTAGACATTCAAATTGAATACATATTCAGTGCAATTTTACAACCTTTCTAAAAAGAAAAGAAGCTGCCACTGATACCGTCGTGGATATCTCTGATTAATATCTATAAGAACATCTTAGATATTCAAGTTGTTTCTTCTCAATAAATCCCAAATAACATGTCATTAAGGTTATATTGTTATAAATAATCATTTTTTTCAATCTTGCGAGGTTTTAATTTCTACGAGTGCACCAATTAGATTTTCCATCAAACATGTAATTCAATGTCTAGTAAAGCACTCTTGCTCGAATAACAATAATTAAAAGTCAATTTGTGTCTTTTTTTTTTTTACTAATATTCGACATTTTTCGAGCAGAAGATATTTTGTTCGACTTCAAATTAATGTTATATTTGAAATTAGCATAAAAAACCTAAGTCGACTATATATACATTTCAAACTAGAAATATCGGGCTAATGAATCTACCGTTAGACAGCACTATATACCGAAAGGCAGGGGGGGGTACTCTTCTTTCTTTTTCTAATTTAATTATTCAGTGCGAAATTTTCTATGAATACAGAAAATATACAATAAATTAAACAAACATTGATTAATGAATATATTCCGATAGATAACTATAAAAAGATTTGTATTCTATATTTTAAAATTTGAATTCAATATCAAATAAGAATATATTTCATACCAATATGATTTGAAGGAAATTGAATTTCAGCTTGTGTTAAACAATAACCATTATTCTGTTGTGGATGTCGATCCTTAATTAAACGTAAACATTGATACCAATCATTCGATGTATTTACATTACATCCATCAACATATTGAATTGTTGAATGAACAGGAAGAAGATTATAAATAGGTGAATCCTAAAATACGATAATAACATAAATGAAAAATTTTCAATAGTTAATTTTACTTTTGATACACGATAAACTGTTGCTGCTTCAATATAAAAATGATTAATTATAAATGGATTAATAAGGAGAAATATTACAGCAATAAGAACAAGAACCATATTATGAAAAACACCAGCACAATAAATTCTTTCAAATAAAAAAAAAAAATATTCAATATTTTATTTTTTGAATGAAAAAGAAAATAATTCTTTATTTACCTTAATTGTCTATAAGCTGTAATCATTTGTATTTTTTCTTGATTTAAATCAACATAAGCACCTGGATAAACAATAAATACAAAATATCCACAACCATTTACATGAACATGTTCACTATTAGAAGGCAAAAAACAAAAGGAAAATATTTCAATAGGAAATTAAAATTTCTTACGCTGATGCTGCTATAGCATGTCCTAATTCATGAAAAATAGTACATAAAACTAAAGCAAGAAAAAAATGTCCTAATTGTTCTAATGGTACATTAACACCAGGAATCTAAACTAACCATAATTTATATATATTTTCATTGAAAATTAAATAAAATATTCTACAAACAATAGGTTGAATCGATAATTTATCGCGTTCATTTTCCATTACAATATTTCTATTAGTTAAATTTTGTGTCATAGATACAATCGGTTGTTGAAGTTCATATACATATTTTAAAGGTAAAAAAATTAGGACAATACAAGCACAAATAGCTGTGATAAATGCAACAAATATTCCTATAGTAAACCAAATTTTCCAAAGACGTGGATATTTTCTACCAATTTGGTAGAAAATACGATTAAATGAAGTTGTATAAAAACCAATATTAAATATTGATATATGACAACCGAATAAACGAAGTAAACGAACATATGAACGTTTTGTAGTTCGAAAACGCTATAGAAATAGAAGAAAATCATATTTCGTTATATTAAACAATAGAAACTAACTAATAACAAATGATTGATTAAATAGACACTAAGCCAGAAAACAAAAACTTGTAGAATAAAACGAATAAACATTATTGAATTTGAACTCAATTGTAATCTTAGATGGTTATAAACCTAAAAGAGTAATTTTATTAGACAAAAAAAGAACGTGATTAGAGAAATATTGTGTTAGATATTAAAATATGTTGTAGATTAAACTAGGCGCTCATCAGCTAAGGCCACCGGGTTGAACTCTATTCATCAATCTAAATTGAAATTCCAGTTCATATTCTCATAGAAAAAAATGGTAGTTTTTTTGTTCGATAAAATATCCTTTCAAAACGAAATTATTGTATAAATATGGATGAATAGATTAACAATTTTTGTTTTGTAAATTGCTTAGTGAAGTGATTTTTTTATGGGCTCACGAAGAGTTAAAATTATGAGTGTCTAATTTTACTATTACAGCTATGAATAATATTTATCCTTTTGTTTACTTTAGTGTCTTGTGATTTAATTGAATAAAGGAATAATGATTATTTAAAGCTGTAAAAGAAAAGTTAGACTAGAATATGTTAGTTTCTTGTGAATCCCTCTAACGAGGGAAGGTCCCCAACTGATTAATCGTTTTTGTGTTGAGGCCATGTGCATCATGTAGATACAAAAGAGTTATGAATACCCTGAAAAAAGTTCGGGCTGCTAGCTTATTGCTACGGAGATACTGCACTTTTACGGTATGTTTTTAAATGAAAGCTGTGGTCCCCTTCAGGAACACCGGAAAAAATTATTTTCGAATTTCGNAAAATTCGAAAGTATAGCTTTGCTGCCAATGTAGGCGTACTATAGAGAAAATTCACTAAGAGCTCGATATCTCCTCAGAAACAACCCATAAACCCGAACTTTTTTTACCATAGACATAGCACACTATGGGCTACAAGATGCGCGAAACTCGGATTGAAAAGCGCTCCCGCACCTTGGAAGGTTCCCTAGTTAGAATATGACTGTTCGATAGAAATTTATTGTTTTCGTTCGATTTACGCAAGACTGTTATCTCTACGCTGTTCCATTCGATAGTTAAAGAAGTTTTCTAGAGACTTCTAATTTCAGCAGTTTTACTCCGGATCACTTAAAAATAGGTTTTCATGAGAATTACTGACCCAGATCAGCTAAGTGCTACTGTTTATTTTCTCTTTCAAAGAAATCTAAAGCTATGACAGCGAAATCTTTCGAATCTTGAGTTTTCTCGTAACAGAGGCTAAATAGTCGATGTTTCGAAAATCTTACTGTTATGGGTTTTACATCTCTTTGGAAGCAAAAAGAGACATTGTGTCTTGGTTGATCTTGATTAATTACCCCTATCAAGAATTATTTTTAGGTGATTCACGATAAAATCAGTGAAATTAACAGTCTATAGAAACCTCTATAACTACCGAATAGAATAAGCTAAATATGTAAGTCTTGCGTAGATTGAACGCTAACGATTTTCTCTATCGAACGATTATATGGCAAGTCAAAGTTCAATGGAAAAATATCTTCCGAATCTTATTTATTAAAAGTGTTGACAAAAAATTCACTTAGTTAACAAATTATCGACCAGAAAAACTTTGACAAAGTTTTATAGCTAAATCATTTCTCTTTTAATTAATGACAACCACAATTCTCTCTCTTATTCCTATCAAAAGTTATTTGAAAAAAATCGACCTGTCTTATATTTAGGCATCCATAATAGCTTAAATTCTTCTTAACTATATGAAAATAGTCAACATATTGAATTCAAATTAAATTAATTTGCTTTAATATTTATTAAACTTACGAATATTGATGAGCTGCATAATTTGTATTTGTTACCGAAGTACTGTTCAATACAGATCGTTGTCGTCCCATCGATACACCAAGACCACTATCAACAGATGCATTTGGACCCAACTGAATGTATAAAAATAAATTTTATTAAATAAAATAAAAGCAAACATATTTCTTTTAATCTTACTAATGATAATTTTTGATAACTATTAGATTCGTTATACGAATGTGATGAACGTGAATAATCTTTTGAAAAAAACGGATGATCTCGAATTTCTAAAGAAAAATTCAAAATTGATTTGAATATTCAATTTAAATATTTAGCTAACCCATAATTGTTGGTCGATGTTCTGGTGTTTTTCTTAATGTACTATTCACAAGATCTTGAGCTTCTTCACTAAATGTTGTCGGTAATTCATATTTTTCCTGTGTAACTTTACTCAATGTCCCATGAACAGCTTAAAACAACACAAATAATTCATTTTTTTTTCTTTTATCAATCAAAAAACAAAACAAAACAAAAAAAAAAAACTAAACGCAATACATACTATCAGTATCAAATGGCGGACGTCCTGTTAATAGTGTAACAATAAGAATACCTAATGACCATACATCCGTTGCAAAACTATGTGGATTTCGACTTGCTATTTCCCTAAAGAAATGGGAAATAATTTTCGGAAATTAGAAAAAAAAAAAAATTTCATTTACGGAGATATATAATTTGGTGTTCCACACATTGTTTCATTTGTTTGTTCACGTGTTAATGGTAATTTTTTTGCCAAACCGAAATCCGCAATTTTCTATTTAATTTCATAATTTTTATCTTTTCTTATCAACTATTTCACGTAAGCTATGATCGACCTTGCACCATGGATGATCATCGATTACATTAGTTTTCATATATGTTATAGGGGCAAATGTTTGATGAACTTCTACGCAAGACGTTCGAAAAAAATTTTATTTCGTTCTCGAGATATTTAAATTTTTTCGAGGTCAATATTGCCAAAAAAAAAGGTATATTTTCTATGGCAACTATATTTCATCATGAATAAATTTGTTCTCATAAGAAGATCACGTTAAAGAGCTGATGTTTTGGTTAGCGAGAGCTGTCAGTGAATACTCACTCTGGTAAAAATTTCAGCCTTTTAGATAGTTCCTGTCGCTCAGAATCCATGGAATTAACAACTCAATATTTTAAACAAGCAAATGAAATAAAAATGATTTTCTTTTTCTATCAAAATCATGGCATTAAATTGATGAACATAATCATTTTAATCAATAAATTTGAAATAGATTTATTTTAATGTTCGCTTCATCATTTCGATGGCTCCTTTTCCCTGTATAATATATTCAAATCGTTCAGAAGTTAAAAGAAAAGTTTCTACAACTGAAACAACTTGTTTCCCAGTATAAATCAGCAGTTGATTCTATATTGATCGACATATATAACTTCTTCAAAAATCACAACAAATTTTTATTTTTGCCGTGCCGTTGCACAACTGTAGGGTCAAAAAAAAATGTTGTTACTATCAAGGAAGTTAATATATAGGTTAATTAATAGAGTATCAAGTGCTGATTTATATTGAACAAAAAGTTTTTCTATAAATTTCTGAATGGTTTGTATATATTGAACAGGGAAAAGAAGCCATTGTGATGCTTCTTCTCTTTTGATTTATACAATTTCGACTTCTATAAACCAGATTTTTCTCTAGACTGAACTCCCTGGGAAAATCGTGATTTTAAGCATAATCCCAATTTTGACAAAAGTCTCCTGAACAACAGAAGCTATCTAGAAGACTGAAATTTTTATCAATGTAAGTACTCAATAAAATCATTCTCTAACCAAAATTTCAACTCTTTAACATGATCTGCTCATGAATAATATTTCCGTCTACTTAGTATCGTATTGATCAACCCATCAACAGCTCATTAATTTGAGCATGAATATCCAAACATAAGATCTATTCATACTCAAAATTTCAAGTTAAACAGGTTTATCTATGATGAGATATAGCTGTCACAAAAAGTGTTGTTTGGCACCGCAGAAAAATTTAAATATCTCGAGAACGAAATAATATTTTTTCGAACAGTTTGCGTAGAAGTTCATCAAACACTTACCACTATAATATATATAAACTAGTCGAATTAGTGACCATCAATTGATCAGGATCGATCATGGCTTATATGAGATGACTCTTTTATAAAGTTTAACATACCACATCGAATGTATCAGTTAAAAGTAAATTCGAAAGTTTAATATCACGATGTAGAATTCCATGACTATGTAAATAGACAAGACCATCAACAACTTGTTTCGTAATATTACGAGCTTAAAATAATAAAAACACATTTTTACTATTAATTTAAGATTTTCTTTTGTTCATCATACTTTCATGTTCACTAAGTGTTTTTTTCTCTTGTAAATAATGTTCAAGATCACCATTCGAACATAATTCAAGTATTAAATAAACATATTTATCATCACAAAAACAATTTAATAATTCAACTATATTTGGATGTTTAACTTGATGATGTATTGTTATTTCAGCATTTAATCTATCAAGTAACGATGTTGAACGTGAACTAGGTATTGGATGACGATGATTTGGATATGATGGAAAATTATGAATATTTTCTTGTTCAAGTTTTTTTCTATCAATCTATATTTTTAGTAGAATAAAGATAATAATAATAATAATTCGTGTTTTAAAATTAATTTATCATTATTTCTTACCATCTTACACGCTACAAGAAGATCATCGGATTTTCGACGTGCAGCATGTACAGTTGCAAAACCACCTTTACCAAGTATATGAGATACTTCATAGTGCTAAAATAATATTAATTTCTTTTAATGGATATTCCATGTATAGAATCTTATTCATGCGTTATATAGTCATTTCCTTTTTCATGCAAAGTTTATTCTGTGTATAAGGTCGAAAAAAGATAAAAACATGTCAAGTGGAATAGATTTTCGAGTTAATCAAATTGAATCAATTGATTCAGATGATAAGACATATTTATTGATGTGTATGATTTATGAACCCAGATAAAAGATAATATATAAAGAGAAACGCAAATTCCGGAATTATGCTTATGAATAGCATCAGTTTACTGAACTATGAATACTAGTATTACTTTCAATAGCAGATAGAAAAGTTAATAATGACAATCCGATAGTAGACATAATAGTCAATTTTTCAAGCTTAAAATTTTGATAAACTATGAATTCTACATGTTATTTATATCATTATAATAATGTCGAGTATATCCGTGGAAGTAGATTGTACATTATAATGAATTTTTCTTTCTTTACGACAAACATATATTCTCGTTTGAATTTATTTTTTCTATCGAAATGCGAACTAATGTACTCAACATAATGACTTTGCAAACAATTTTTTTCTCAACATAGTTATGTTTTATAGTTTCTTTTTCTTTTGTTGTAGTTCATTTAAAATTAATTAAAAAAATCTATTTTAGTAGCATCTCATTCAATCTTCATTTAAAAACCACAAAATATATTGAAATTAGTTTGAGATTTGATGGGTTTTTTTTTTTTGTCTCTTCGTTTTTAATCTGTACCAGAAACAAAACAAAAAAAAGAGAACAAACGAATTCTTTTAATCAAGATATTCAATGATGTACACATATGTATTTTATTTTTCAAGATTTGTTTATTGTCATTCTAGTCCATTCGAATTCAATTTTTCTTCTTCTTTGTCTACTCGTTATTCAATACAAAGAATTTGCTTTGTACGGTATGTAAGCTTTGAATAATTGATACTCAACAAATCAAACCGCATACGTACTCAAACACGCACATATAATGTGTAAGAAGAGATGAAATTTTCTTTTTTTCTCTCTCGCTGTCCCTATAAAGTCAAAGGAATAAGAAAAAGAAGGAAATCTCGATTCCTGATAATAATTATTGCTTTACATACATACACGAGTTGACCATTGAAATAGGATCGTTAAAGTGAAGAACAAGTTATAAAAAAAGAATTGTAGTATTAGTCTTTTCTTTTTTTTTTTTTTTTGTTCTCTATTATCGATGTAGTCACGCCAACAACTTAGCTTGTTCGTGCGTGTTCAATCTTGAACGAAACCTTTTCTTGTTCTTCGAAGAGTTTTTACGTCATCTTATCAACTAGCTACTCTTATATGTATACAAGAGTAGTAAGAAGACCTCGATGTGTAGTTATAAATCGAAAAAAGAAATTTCGTTTCTTCTCCTAGTGATGGACACTTGAATTGAGTGTCGATAGAAAGAAAGAGAAAGCAAAACCACCGCTACTATCACCACTACTACATCATTACGCATACAAACACAAATATCTCGAATTTCGTTTACACATATGCTCACTCTTTGAGCCAAAGTTCACACTTCTTTCGTTTGTCTGGAAGGAAAAGGGATGGATGCATTACAAATATAAATTCAGTCAAATGAAAAGCGCAAAGAAAAAAGAAAAGTTTCAAAAGTAACTTACACTAATTTTTTCGTCATGGGAAAACATAGGCACAATGCCAGACCGCATTTTCTGTGTTTTATTAATGAGCTACACACCCACAATTACACTTGCGTATGTTTGTACAATCAATAATAGTTCCATTGATCTATAATAAATAAAATTTCATTTAATAGATACCTCTCAATGTCTTTTCTTTTAAGATGTATGAAGTATAAATCAGACGAAATAAAACGCAAGTAAGACACAGAGAGAGAGAGAGAGAGAGAGAAAAGACAGAAAAGAGAAAAGTAGGGAATCAAAAAAAAAAGAAGAAAACGAGAGAGAACTTTTCTCACGCAATCATTGAGTAGGAGTCAGTAGTAAAGAATTGTAAGACAAAGAAATACAAAAAAAAAACACCATGAAGAAAAAGAAATTGATGGACGCGAATATCACCATAACAACAGACTCGATTCATATTTCTTCTAAATCATTAATATAAGAATTATTTAATTAGGAATAAAACAAAACATTATCATTATTAAAGAAATATCATTTTATCTAAAATAATATCAAGTTTTCAATGATACAGAGGGCGCTATCAGATAGTTTTATTATTATTTTAATGGATGTACTTGTTGTCTGTTCAGTTTGTTCTGGTAGAAAAGAACAAAAAAAAAACTAAGTGAATTTATTCTCATTAGGATATCAAGAACGTTGTCTTTAACATTCTCTCACTGTTTGGTAATAATTCAAAGACATTTTTTTCAGTGCTTTACATTTTAATAAGAATAAAAGCTATACTACTATTTCTGTTTTTTTCTAAGGGCAGTTTAAAAATATCTGCAGATGATTCTTTAAATAGAAAATTAATTATCTCAAACCACGACTTTGTTCAATTTCCTTGATATTAAAATATTAGTTATTAATTAGTGCTTCTCACATCTTATTACGGAAATTCCCGTCGCGCATCATCATATTTTGTCTTGACAGCAAGAAAAAAAAATCAAATTACACATACATGATAAATGACAACTCAATCAGTTAAAAACTAAGAAATACTTTCAATTAGAAAGTTCTCTAGATGTAAAATAAAAGTATAATTTAAAATGCTCTTTTATGTCCAATATGATGGTAAGTGTTTAACGATCGTTAATGATTATATATGATGGCTATAAATGATTATGTTAGGTCGTAATACATCTCTTGTATTTTATATACAATCATAGATTATCATTATAGGACATCATGCGATGCTTTTTTTTTCTGGATGAAAAGGTGATTAACCTATTAAAACTTATTCTACTACTCAAAGGATCTTATGCTAAAAGATTACTATTAAAAAACACAGCATAGCTTTGATTTAGGTCTGTTTAACAGAAAGAACAGTTAAAGGAAGATAGTCTACCAAAATTACAGAGAAAAGATTTTTGTTTTCAGTAAAATGTATTCTCAGCTGAAATTTTTGAAGCTCTTTTGGTGCGACTTACGAGGTAATACTTCTAAGAATCAAATTACTTTTGAGTCAGGACTATGTACATCATGTAGATTCTAATGAGCTATGAATACCTTATGACTGTAGAGACACTATATTTTTAGCAGAATGTCGTAGCTCCTTCCGAAAAACTAAGTTTCCAATTTCGACTTGCAACTTTGTATAGAAACAGATCTTGACAGAAGTAGTTTATTGTGGAATTTTTATATTTTTTGATTGCGCTTATTCTGAAATAAGAACATCGGAATTTGTAGCTGTATATCAGTGGCATGAAAAACATGCTTTTGCCATTGCCATATTTTAAGACCGAAGCAATCAAAAGATCTGAAACTTTCACAACAAACTACTCTCATTGAGACATGTCTCAAGCCGAAATTCGAAACTTAGTCCTTCTGAGAGGTCTACGGCAATGATAAACTATCAGCCCGAACTCTTTGCATGATATTCAAAGTTCATTGGACCTTACCTGATGCACATGGTCTCGACTCAAAAGTGATTAGATACTTAGAAATAATTACTCATTAGTTTCTCACTGAGTTTGAATTATTTTCTTTGCATACCAGATAAATTTTCCTGTTGAGGCCTGCTCAGTTTCTCTCAACTACTGAGTAGAACATGTCTCTTGACAAGATAGTAGTTATATATTTTTCTGTGTAATATTGAGAAATAATAGAAGACTCTCCTAAAAAGTCTGAAAAGAAAAGTTTCTCTTTTGCATAGTTCATTGGACCTACCAAAAGGAAAAAAAAATGCTACAAACTATTTATAAAAGAAAATTCAAGAAAAAGTTTAAGTTTTCATATTGCCATAAGCGAACTACGATCGATTTTCAAAAAAAGAAGAATCGGGAAAAGTTTTTGAATAACTTTCAATTGGAACAAGATAGGAAGCTGCGGCATTCACCATTCGAAGAGTGGATATGACGATGCATCGAATCGTATATTACAGAATTTTCTCCCATGTTTGTTAAGAGGAATTCTATTGAATTTCTTGAACAAAATCAAGCTTTTGTGAGTGATTGGCAAATTAATTTTTCATGAAAATATTAAGAAAAAAGTCAAAAATTCTTGAAAAATCTTGTCAAAGTCTCTGTTATGTTTTCAGTAAAAATTATTCTTTTTTTTTCTGAAATCGATAATAATTATTTAAATTATAAATCTTTAAATGATACATACTAAAATTCTTGATGCGGATAACTTTGAACAGAAACTGAGTTTTGAAACAGTAATTGCCTTTCTCTCGCAAAAAAATGAAATAGAAATAAGCAGATAATGTTGTTACCAGAAATATTTTTTTGTTCTCGTCGATTAGGCTAAAATCACAAAAGAAAATCTGGTTAACATGAGCTTTGTATCCAGAAAATAGAATTCTTCTTTTCATTAGTTATTAAAATAATCTTATCCTTGGTATATGACATTAGATAGAACATAATTCATTGTATCTAAAATTGTGCTTTGAAGCATTTTAGCAATTATTTATTAGCTGAAAGTAACAAAAAATGACGGTAGCAAATTGTGATTTAAAAATTCGTTAGCAATACATAACCATAATAATTGTCGAACAAATTTTTTATTTCTACATTTTTTTGTGAAATTTACGTATATTTTCGAATAAAATAATAATGAGTGGAAGTTTAAATCGAGATTTTTGTGGTATTCTCCTCCCTCTCATCACAGACCTTTGCAACTGGGATTAAAGGCTTAGAATATTCCAGATTCGTTCTTGAAATTTAACCAGTTGGAGTACGTTTTTCAATATTCTAAATAATACAACTTCTGGTTTTAGCACAGATAAAATGATTATATTCAAGATATCAAGGATAAAGTTTTGATTTTACACAATTGTCATATAATTAATACAAAAGCATGAATTGATTAAGGTTCGACTTTCAGAAATAATGAATTTTAGTCTTTCTAAATTTATCGAGATACATAAAAGATCATTAAGATCTACTGGAGATATAACGTATGCATAGCTCAGCTTTATTCGTCCATTATATCAACGTCTAGACTAATAATAATAAATTATGAGAAAAAAAAATATAAATGTCATGCGAATAGCAACAAGATAAATAAAAATGATATAGCGTTTGTTCATAATCGATTATCATTGGTAAAGAACTATAATCTTTTAGGAATTTTATACTTTCCGTATTTTATATTAGTATAATGAAGCTATAGAAGACATGCGAGTTTTACATTTCAGCCCTAAAGAGATTACGTTAACAAGTTTTTAAAAGACGTTTTATAATGGTTTGATAGACAATTTCATACTGAATTTTTTTAGAAAAAAGTTTTACACCAAAGCGATCAATACTTGACACAAATATTTAGAAAATATTGACGAGAGAACGTTTTTAATTGATCAATTACTTTCATGTTCGAACTCTGTATATAAAATCGACATCAGTAAGATATGAAAAAATCCAAAAGGATAAATGTCCTTAGGCTTTCTGTCTATAATTATAAACATTTTACTGAAATTTTAGCCTATGGTGTGATATATACTAACAAATCGAATGACTCACTGAAATCTGCTTTACGTACAGAACCAGAACTTAAAAACAATTGATCAGATGAAAAACATTTTCTCGTAAAAGACTCGTTTATTCCGTTGCAATTGTTAGATCAGTTCAATTTAAAAAAGAAAAACAAGATCAATCCCGTCTGTATTTTACCCATTTAGTGTTAATATCTAATTTAATTATCAATATAAAAACAAAAATCTGATTTAATATACTTTCAAAGAACAATTCTATATTAAAGAAGTCTCATCAATCAATGATACTGATGGTTTAAAAGAAAAATTCTATTATTACTTTTAGTATCTCTCGTTATTTAAAGATCAACAAGATTATCACATTGTTTATCTCCATTTATCATTATTTTAACATAATCCAGATAGTAATCATCTGAATATTGATTGCCATTTTTATTGTTCACGCTTTATTCTTTTCATAATATCAAATGATAATGTTTCGAATAGCTCCCAGATATATGACATCACCCCAAAAAAAATAAACTTTCTCATATATGTATATAGATATATATGTTATGATTGATGAGTATGATTATATTATTTGTCATACTGTATCATTATCAGTCATGTAATCATAGTAAACACGATACATTTTTTTTAAAGATATACAAAAATAAAGAAAAACAAAACAACGGGTCGAATATTACGTCAGACTCGAGTAATGAGCATAGTTAGTAATAATAGTTGAGAATAATGAAAAGAAGAGCCACTGTTATATCGCTGTTCTTGTTTTTCTAATTTTTCTACATCATTATCATCTTTATTGACATTCCAAATAATGGGTGGTTTACGATGATAGAATGGTATTCGATCTTTCCAATAAAATGTTGTTATTATTTGTTTTGTTGTTGTTATTAAAATTGGTTGTTCAGTGGTTGAGATTTCTTCTGATTCATCATCACTATATAAATCTTGATCACCATAATCATAATATGCTGTATTTGTATCATCATCAAATGATATATCATCATCAAGAGGAGTAGTTGCAATTGTAGTTGTAGTAGTAGTAGTAGTAGTTGTTGTTGTTGTTGTTGTTGTTATTGTTATTTTTGTTTTTGTTGTTTTTGTTTTTATTTTTCGACGAGCTGTTGTCGTTGATGTTGTAGTTATATCATCTATTGAATCTTCATATGCATAATCTGAATAATCAAATTCGTTATCATTTGGATAATCATCAAAATCAGTAGGTCTTAATGTATCAGTAAAATTTTGAATAATTATATCTATTTTTGATTCATTTACTAGTGATAAACTTGTTGTTGAATTAATATTAAGTACTACAACAAAAAAAAAGAAAATTACATATACATTGAATTAAGATGCAGATTAATTGCTTTATGATTCTGATGATCCTGAATGATCATGTGACATCTAGGACTCGAACAAAGATATTTTTCTTTTTCATACTCGAATACGAGCAGATTTCATATATTTGTATTTGATTGTATAGTTTAAATATCTGAGCAGAATATAGAATGTCTAATTGAGATTGTTTTATTATAGCTATAACTCACTGATACAAATTTCAAATATGAAAGAAATAATCTATATGAAGCATCGATGAAAATAATTTATTCAATATTCTTAACAATTTAATCGCTAATTTTTTCTTTTAAGCTACTGAAAAATCTATTAACAAACCTGACGTAGTTCGATGAATATTTCCAATAATTTGTGATTTTTGTCTCATTTCTTTAAAAATCCATTGTAATTTTAAACTTAATGGTTTATCATAATGTAATTGAACAGAAGATCTAAACAAGCAAAAAGTAAAAAAAAGAAAAATTCGTTCTTAAAATTTTTCATACATTCCATCTTGAGATATTGAAGTTCCTGTCCAACATATTTGTTCATTTAATTCTGAAATTCCTTTTGATCTACAAATTTGTTCAGGTAATTTCATCCAAAATGATCGATATGTATGCAATGATTGACTCATATGAATTAGTTGTTGATCTAATAAAGATAATGATAATGTTTTACTAAATTCATCATCAAATTTTTGATCGATAGCAAATGTTTGACGTCGAATACGCATATGTCCACATTGATCGATGATCTATATATATATATAAATATATACTATAGGATAAGAATAAAATTTTATCTAAGAAATACATACGTCCTTATTTGCAACTCCACCCGAATTAAAAAAGGTCATAACAGCATCTGATATTGATAAACCAATTGATGATAAAACTTTTTCGATATTATTAAAATAATTAACATTCTCAATAGAATCTAAATAGATTCAATGAAACAATAAGATTATTAATAAATATAATATATATTTACCAATAAAATTTTTCCATATATCATCAATTAATGTTATATTAACAAGACAACTTTCAATGACGTTCATACAGTTTGATAAACATGGTAATTCATTTCTTCCACTACATAAATTACAATATGATAATTGCATATATGAGTCAATACAATGATAATCCGTTGTAACACTCTTAATAGAACCAAATGAAGCAAAAAAAAAATGTGTGAAAATAACACTTTAAAATTCATTTTTAAGTTATTCATAACAAATAAATTTATTTTTATATTTCTTTTCGTTTTGGTTTTTTTATACGAATCAAAATTCAAACTGTTTAGTTTATTTCTTTCAATAAAAAATATTAAACATATGTAGATCGAATCATATAATGACTTTTTTCATTGTATTTCTCACCCTTGTCATATTTTATACACATGACAATGTGAATAATAAATGAGATCATTCAGATAATTGATATCAATAAATATACATTTTTATATACTAGACAACTCATTTTTGTGAACAATTTGATACAGGCATTTAGTTACATTAGAAAAGAAAAACAACATCGCGGTCATGACAATTACACGTTTGAATAATCCATCGTCATATTCCCATAAAAGATTTATTTTCATTATAAATAAAAATCTTCTCAACAAAAAAAAAAAGACAAAGAAAATACTTACCGTAGATAAAATTTGAACAAGTTCATTACTTAATTTAAATAATTCATTTAATTGAAATATTTTACCTAAATTAATTTCTAATTGATTTTCAATTAAATTTAAATGACTACCAAATGGATGATTTTTCCATAGACATGAAAAATAAACTGGTAATATTGATTTATTATTATTTAATGTTAATGATATATGTAAAATATTACGAAATAATTCATCAATATATTTTTTAATATCATGTTGATATGTACGATAAGTTAATGTTAAAAGATTATTGAAAAATTTATCTATTGATAAATGATACGATTGATAAAGTTTATTATAAACACGTTGTAAAACAATATGTGTTTCATTTCGAGATATTTCAATTAATTTTATAATCGTATCTAATTAACAAAACAAAACAAAAAAAACATTTGAAAAGAGAAAAAAAATATATATATATACTATACAACATACGATTTAAATCATTAGTTAAACGAACTAATTGTTCATATAAATTAATTGTATTTAATTCAAATAAATGATAAAGTTCAATAGCTGTTGCATTTTGTATATGATTTTCATAGATTTGTGGACAACAATAATTATTAATAAAATTTTTACATAAATGAAGACCTGAAAAATTTCTTTCTATTATATTTATATTAATATTATATTTATTTAATTTATTATTTAATAGAAAACATTCATTTTGTTGTTGTGTT